GTAAAAAAGAAAGCTGGACACAGGACCTCTTATATTTTTAAGTGGCTTGATTTTATAGCCTACATCTAAGTAGTTAGGGGGACGATTCAACTATAAAAGAATAAAAGAGTATATTAGATGGAGGGCAGAGGAAGAAAGCCTGGTCTTAAGAGTGGCAGAATACTCTTTTATATCTTAAGATATCATGATGACTACTGAAGATGGCCATTACACTTGCTAGAATAAGATGTGGGACTACTTTCTCCCAAAAGTGATCCATGACTTTTGGTTTGAGATGGGGTTGGTGCTATGACAAGGCAAACTGAGTGGCAAAATATTAGAGGCTTGGTCTTGATATTTGTGGAAGCGGCACAATGGTGATGATGGGTTAACAGGAAGCTCTTGGCAAGAAGGTAGCAAGTGGCAAACGACAAGCCGATCAAAAAAGGGTTGTGCTGTTCGGATGGTACCATGCACCATAAGGAGACTGATTGAGTGTTGTTAAATGTGCCTTTAGGATTAGTTGCCAAGAGAAAATGTTGGCATCATCAGCCATAAATTCCAACAGGTTCAGTAGTTACTACTAAGCCTTTGAGTTCGAGAAATGATTATGCGCCAACAAGACTAGAGCCATTAGCTAAACAAAAAACTTCCAAGCATATGAGACCTATTTGTAGGTGTAATCCACATATAACACAATGTTGTTGATAGGAATTTGTCGGCGTAGATCCGACGGGCCATTGATGGAAACCATAAACTTAGTCAAGTTAGACCAACCTAATGGAATAAGTTGAGCTTTTTTTTTATTTTTTTTATTTTTAAGTTGATAGGAATTTTTAGTTGAGCTTTACTTATCAGAGAAGTGCCAGATTATTATACCACATATATAATCCTAACTAAGTGCAAAATAAGTTGTTACAATTATTTCACATTTTGAGCTCTATATATGTTAAGGCATTGATCAAATCTTTGTAAGATCCTAACGTGTAGCTAAGCATACAAATTAGTCTTACTATTTCAAGAAAGTGCCTGGAATCACTTTTTCATATAAAAATATGCTCCTGAAAATTGATAACCAAAACTAACCAATTTACATATTTATGAACATTAATAATGTTAAATTGAATAGAGTTTCTATTGATCATGGTGCATCTACATATCAAATTTAAGGGCCTTAGCACAAATTAATATGGAAACAGATAAACTCGTCTCAGATAAGATTGTTTTGCGTGGATTTAATGAAAATAGGAAAAAAGCTTTAGGTGCCTTTACCCTTCTGCTTCAAGTTCGTAACCTATAGACTAAGGCAATTTTTCATATTAGTGTCTCCGGTAGATCATGATTATGATTACATGGAAATATAATGGTGCCCTGTACTCTTTACCATTGCATTAAATATGAGCATGATGATGTTGAGTACTGTATTAAAGAAGATGGCCAGCAATTATCCATTTATGAAATTTGAATATATGCACAACAAGAACAAGCCTTTATCCCACTACATGTGGTTGGCCAGATGAATCCTTTGTCTCCATTGTGTCCTACAAAGAGTACAATTGGGATATATGCACAAGCAATAAATTTTTTTGTGAAGAAATAGTCGACATTTTCCAAGGATGTTATTACATCCAAGGCTAAAGAAGAGTTACACAGTATAAAAGAAAATCTTAAGTAAATTGGTTCAAAATATGTTAAGACAGTAGAGAGCACTAGTTTAATGTCATGTCGAATAGGCACAAAATATGAAACTATAAAATATCTCATTTATAAGTTTAGTCTTTCGGCTTCAAAGCAAATTTGGCCAATGGCGTGCCCAGTTCCACTTCGATCACCAAACTTCTTAAGAAGTGGCAAAGTTTATTTCAACAAGGACTGAGTGATTGATGTTTATAATTTCTATGCATCTTGATCGTCTTATATTATGTAATTATGTTCAAACAAAGTTTTGCAATTGGGTGACTCTCACAGTGGCATCATGTGGCAAAAAGTTATTTGTACAAATTGTTATGGTTGAGTGAGCTCTTTGTGCAAGGTTATGTCATCGCGTGACTTTAGTCTAGCAAAGTCTAAAGCAGAACGATGCAACCACGATGTCTCCAACTCTTGATCTGATGGGGAGAAACAATCCTTCTCCAAAAAGTTCAAGGAGATGGAGAGCTAGCTGGTTGGCCAAGCTGCCACATTTTACAATGACAAAATCTCCTTCTACAAAAGATAATAAGGATGACAACACACACCTAAGTGAGGATGGCTTCAATATCATAAAGGAGGCATTGGCAAGATAGCAATCCTTTCGGGCGGCGCCCCTTACTCTCTCAACTAGTTCAGGTGTTTTAGCAAGATGTAGGAATCAATTGCTGAGGCATTGGAGTCCAATGACTATAAACCCCGTCAGCAAGTTTTTTGCTTCAACTTTTGTTGATACAATTAAATATTTTTAACCTACGTCCTATAAAAACAAATGCAAAAACATGAAGGAAAGAAGCGAAACTTTATTTACTTAAAGATTTGTCTTTAGTTGTTTTCTTTCTTTCGCTTGAGTGTGCCCAATGAGCTGACAGATCATCAAGCAAAGCTATCAGGATAAATGAAATTGAAAGAACCAACGGCAAAAATTATTGCATACCTAGTTTAAGGAGACGGCATTAGATATCAAGTTTTACCCTATCAGGCCAAACGAATGAATGTTAATTTGATTTTAGCACTATCTCTTGTCGCATTCCCCTCAAACCATTGTAGTCCCATCCCCGACTCTAATGGATAAGGAACTACTCTGGCAAGTTGAGATGTCGCATGAATAGGAAATTGAAGTCAATTTGTTAGGTTTTACTTAAAGAGGAGATGGACAACTACTTATTATGGCGTTGCCAAAAGAGAAAACAAACATCAATTGGTTGTGGCGCCACCTAAAGAGGTAACAAACAAAGTCAATAAGACAGAACATTCCCTCCAATCCAATTTTCTGTCTGGCTAGAAATTCTTAATGAGAGCACCAAAAATATCAACGACAAAAAGCGATCATCTAATGGAAGAGGTGACATATGGCTTAGATCAAAGCAAAAGCATTCAAAAGATGATGAACTCTCAGGTCAAGATACCTCCCAAACTAGGTGAGATGGTGAAACGAAAAAAATAAAGAGAAAAAAGAAGGTTAAGAAAATTCGAACGTCAATATTTCTTAAGTTGATCAAGTTTGTAGCATATATCCATTGTGTCATAAGGGGAAGGATTCCACTATAAAAGAACAAAAAAGCATATCATATAAAGAAAACCCACATTTTCTATATGGAATTGGGATGAAAGGTGAGAAAAAAATATAAGACTAAACATGAGTTCAAATTTAAAAGTGATATGATCCTCTTTTAAGTCCTAATATATACATAATTTATAGGAAAAATAAATGTTCTTATTGACTATTGGAGATGGCTGTTATAATTGCTTAGATAACATATGAGAGACTCTTTCGCCCAAAATTAACTGAGGTGTCGTTGGTTGGAGATGGCAATTTGCACTCCGAAAAGGCAATTACACAAGCAATAGCCAATCAGAGACTTATCTTTATGCCTAGGATACTTGCTGAGAAACCAAGAGCTAGCAGAATGGCAAAGGATTTTAGGATAAAACTCATCAAGAGAAGTTTCCCAAGAGAGTTATTAGTGTTGATCTGCCAAGGTTCATGGAGGAAAATTTGGTTCCTATGTAGCTCCTATAGAATGTAAGGGTGTCAATAAATGACCTGACAGACCAATCCAATTCGAAAAATCTAGGTTATGGTTGACCAATTTAATAAACAGGTTGAGTTTGGGTCGTGTATTTCGACCCGATTATTAAACAGATCATATTTGGGTTGACCCACCAACCCGATTTTGACCCGAAAACGATCCATTTAATATTTTTCTTAAATTCTTTTATTTATTGATATAATCTTCTTAGTTTTAATCAATTAACCTAAAATCAATTATTAATAAGTTAATATTGAGTCGGGCTCGGGTTGCTAGCAGGTCGAGTTTGAGTTTTTTCACCCGTTTATTAAATGGATCGAGTTCGGGTTGACTGGATTCAGGTCGGGTCAATATCAGGTCGGACTCAAACCCGACCGGTTTTGATGCCCCTAATAAAATGATCCCCCTCCCCCCTCCATCCCCTTACAATCAACTCATTGCTCTAGCCCACAAAAAGCTAGCACAAACTTAATTCCTTACCATCCACACACACCTTGATTCTATTTTCCTTTCAATTTCTAGCACAATTTTGAAGTCAAATCAAAACTAGGATCATTTTTTTGGAGCTAATTAATGATAACAAATTTGTTATTCAAACATAAAATTATCTGCCTTGGATTTTGTGCTTATTTTATAGAGAAAAAAATTTAACTCCAAAATAAGACGTCCACCTTGGCAAGATGGTTATCAAACTCAACACCCACCTCAGCCAACATAATGTCCAGCTCAACAAGACTGATAAGGCAATCTAACACAGAATAGCCCCTACACTTCACATGGAAGCCCTTCCTCAATATCCTCATTAGTCAGAGACACCACAAACTGGATGACAAAGCCTTACCACTCTTATCCATACTCAATTCTCCCACCAAGCACCATTTCAATTCAACAATTTTAGCAATTTCACTTTCCCCACATAGGGCATGAAATGTAGGTATTCACATTGCACCAACTTTTTATAACCCACATAGAGAACCCAATAATTCTTCTTGACCCGAACAATAACGGTTAAACTGAGTGCTGGCAGAAAAAGACATTGCAGGTGTAAAGCTTTACACGTGAATATGGAGATAACTATATAAGCTAAAATTATAATTTGGACTATGGACGCCATCACAACATCGAACTTTTTAAGTATTCCATCCATTGATAGTGCTTTATAGGGTAATATCAAATTTGGTTTTGTAGCAATGCAAGTGAGATACTGCATATGACTTTCATGCAAAAATAAAAGTATTTGAGTAAGAGAAAGTTAGTAGCACAAATGCAGTAATCATTGTTACAGCCTTAAGAACTTACAATGAGTTGGTATGTTTGGCTGAAAAGAGTCCAATGAACCTCCACCATATTCAACTAACTGTCTTTGCGCCTCCAACTCTCTCTGGACCAGTTTTCCATAACCACCCCTACGTATTACGCGTCAAGGAAACAGGAAAAAAATTCCGGAAAAAAAATACATAACAAAACGCATCATCCTGCAACCTACATGAGCCAAATTAATTAAAGTTTCGTGTGCCATTAGAAAAATGAAATGCAAAATGATTGACACAAGTAAAAAATTTCATCCACAAACTTCAAAAACTAAGTTAACACTTCACTCCAATCAGTCACAAAATATTATTAGGATAATAAGTTATGCATATGAATGAATAATTAGGACTAAGAAATTTCAGCTGCAACTAAAGCCCCAAGGCATTCAAGATTATAATTCCCGATAGATTCTTAATGGCAAACCATCTCTGCTGGCATAAGGTGTAATTGCAAATTTGGAACCATCACAGATCTGATGAGATCATCGTATGACATTCTTTAATCTTGGTCAACACGGTAAAGCTGCTGGGATGACAAACGATAGCTTTTGACAATACAACATGACCAAGGGAACTTTCACTGAAACTGGACAGGATTTAAGAGAGAGAGAGAGAGAGAGAGAGAGAGAGAGAGAGAGAAGGGTTACAACATTATGAACATTAGTAACATGTTAGAATGGCATTGCAGGAGTGAAGGGCATGGTTTAAGTCTTTAAGCATAGTCATGAATTCAAACGCAAAATGGTATCCCAAAAACACAATTAAACTGATCTGCAATCTACTTTACAAAAACCATGTTAACAATAAGGATATCAGGATCATAATCCGTACGATACTCGTCGCGCACCTAAAAAAGAATAGAATTAGCAAAAGAACAAATTCTACAGCACAATGAAACAATCAGCCAAAAATAAATATCACCTGTCCGCCACTACGACCACGACCCCATTGTCTTCCTTCTTCAAATCCCCAGTCAAAGTCTACACGAATAGAACGATCATCAAGAATGGTCCCACTGATATATTTAACTGCATCTTCGGCATCTTCCCTAGAATAATACCTGAGGGTAAAATAATCACAGCGCTGTTCATTCCAGCTTCACATTAAAAAAAAAAAAGAGAGAGAAAACTAGTATAGCATTTGTGCATTGGAAGAGTTTTAAAAAAAAAAAATTAACTCCTCAATATTAATCCGTTCACTTTTTTATTTGAATTCATAAAAAAATCATAATTTTCTATAGAGCATATTAAATGTCAACTATAATTCTATAAACGCTTCACAGATGTACACCAAAAAATATAATAGCGAAATCTTGAGTGCGTATGCCTAGAAGATGATGACTAATCCATGATTATTTACTATGGCATAGGATTAAGTAATCACAACACATAATTTTATGGAGTATAATAAGTTTACTCTCCGCCCAAAATTTTAGAAGGCATGCACAATAACGAACGGTAATCTTAGCTTTGGAATAGAATGTACTTGATTAGCAATGAAATTATGACATCAGAATAACTTTTTTTGCTAATTCTGAGACGCGAGATAATTTTCATATCAAAAGACAAATAAGAAGTAAATTTTTTATGCAAGGAATCCATGATCACTAATATGCTATTATCACATATGTTGATCACGCAACGTTCAATTGGAATGACTGAAGAATGAGGAATCATAAAGCTGATCCTAAATAGTTGTGATAAGGTTAATGCTGATGATGATAATGACAGCATATATTGATAATACAACCATACATTGCCGAATGCCAATAAAATCATCAATGAGCTGGTTTTTCTTGTGCAAAACTTTCAATTCTAAATCAGCATATAACATTTGGAATAGATTGAAATGATTTAGAATTAATTTAATCACGGAAAAATAACATTAGCTGAAAAAACACGTTGTAGGCTATAATTAGCATCTTCCTGCAAGTGCACACATAAATCACGCAATTTGATAAAAAATGCATTTGTTATGCATAGCAAAGCTGAAAGGAACGTTCTTGAACAAAATTTTTCATAGAAAAGTTCACAAAAAGGTATTATCTACACAGGATATCTAAGCCAACTGCATAAAGCTTGACAAACATATCAAGGAGTTTCAGCTCATGTAGTTTACATTTGATTTCTGAATTTCCTTCACTCTAATCCAACACTCATGGGAATTATTAATCCACCTAATGAGGATAGTGGGAAATAAGAGAGAGGCTTATTACAAAATAACTTGCTTGGATTGAATGGTCAAGTTTATCAGAGAAATTTACTAAATGATGGTCGGATATCATTATAGATTATTTTATTTCAAGTCTTCCAATTGACAGTCCACTGAAATAGCCATAAATTAACTATGCTAATAATAATAGTATTTTTTTAATTATTCATTATCTTGAAATCTGAGTGATTATTGATCACTGCTTTATATTTTTCCACCTCAAAGCTTACATCTCTTGTTGCCTCTAATATATGCATTTACTTTTGTCATCTAAAGCTTTCCACAAATGATTCACTCATAAAGGTAAAAGGGCATTTTATGCAAGAATCCATAATGTTGGTGTTCAATTAATTTTAGCAAAGGATGCTTCAAATTTTAAAATCATGATACACCATCCATCTTTTTTGTATAAAGTTGTATTTGACAGGTGGAGTTTCTTGAGCTTTGTATGATAGAGAAATATCATTGCTTGCCAACAGGGATTTTGTTCGATTGCAAATGTTATTTTGGCATCAATATAATTTCTTGTTAACACTGCATTTCCTGGTCGCATGCATACTTGTTGTCATAATATGTTGAGTTTTTTATTGCCTGCTAGACCTTTAATCAATATATAATTATTCATGGCAGACACCATTTTCTACGGTGCATATACAAAAAAATAGTGCTATCTTACTGTCTATGCCAGGCATTGCAAAATAAAGGTATTTCTTTCATAAATTCAAATACTCAAAATTTCATGACTCCAGCTATATTAATTATAGACATTCATTTTATTCTTTGGATGAAACCTTTCAGATGTGGGAGTATTTACATACCTGATGTAGCCAAGAGTTGTCATTTTATGTTTTCTTTATTTTCTACTTGTGTTATTAGCTTTCTTTCTTCAGTAACTTTTCAGTTTTTTTTCTGTTGACCCTTCATTTTCCCTGTTGGCCCCTCGGTTTCCAAGTTATCTCTCAATTTCCCTGCTGTCCACTCATTTCTCTTGTCTTCTCATATAACTGCTGCTGTTTGTGATAGGGCGGTTCAAGTTGAACCGGCTCGGGTATACAGGAGGCGAATAAGTGCCGCCCACATGGGTGGGCCCCACTAGCCTTTTGAATTCAAATTCTGAATG